GGGAAGTGAGATCTACTGTGGTGTTTTTATGACTTTTGTGCTGTATGATTAGGTGAAAATCGTCGACGTAAGAAGGGAATTTTTTTTAGGATTAGAATTATTTTTGTTAGGAAATAGTAGCAGATTCGAAAAAGAATTACGGAAATGGGAGAATCTTTTGGGTTTCCGTTGCTGAGAAGAAAACTGTTGAACATATTTTGACCGTTTTTGATAATGCTTTTCCTATTGGTCTTGAAATTGGCTACATATTTGATGATTCGAGGACCTAGCTGCCATTCTTGGAGTTGTCGGATTATAGAGTGGACTCTTATTTTGTCAAACGCCTTGGAAAAGTCCAGGGAACAAATCTTATTGTTTTTACCCTTTTTAAATCCGAACTGGTTGTTGTGAATGAGTTTGTTTGTGGTAACAAACAAATCCTTTTGGGGATAATTTTGTCTATGACTTTGGCAAGACATGGGGTTAGGGAAATTGGTCTGTATGATTTAGGTTCGATTTGGGGTTTTTGAGGTTTGAGAAGATGGGATGGGAAGGATGAGGCTGAATTTGTAGGCTTGAGTGATGTGGAAATCTAGAATATTATTAAAGTGATCGAGAGTCCTGTTTTTAAAGGAGGGGGTGCGTTTTGGATCATAGAATAGAAGGTGCGGTCCATGCCAGGGATGGATCCATTTAGGGAGTTGAGGGCGGATAAAAATTCAATAAAGGAAATGTCTTTCTATTTGATTGTCTGATTGACAAGGATGGTAATTTATATAAGTATTTGTGAGAAGTTTGTTTGTCCTAAATGAATCGGAGAAGTTGATATCTTCAGCTTCTTTTAGGTCTGCGAAGGTGTTGGCTATTTCAGATGGGAATGTAGATGGGGTTTGGGTTAGTGAGTTGTGTATAGCATGGATATGTATGTTTGGTAGGGTAGAGGCCGCATAATCGTTTTATGTTTGGCCACATTTTTGATGGGTCGGATTTTGGAATAATTTCAGGGTAAAGTTGTGTAAGGAGGTTCTCTTGGCTAATTTTGTTGCTCTTCTGTACATAGCATTTGATTTTTTAAAATCAAGAGCGGCTTCTTTGTTTACATTGCTGTTGCAGGTTTGTGCTAGGGAACTGAGAAAGACCCACTCTCCTGTTTGTGTGTGTAATGGCGACTCCCTTTCGACTGGTGGACAAATGCCTGATTTAGCTTTCCACAGTGGTTATCGTTTGGGTAGAATTGCTCCAAATAGGAAAATTGAAATAGATTTTTTTCATCTTCTAGGGCTTTGCGTAGAAGGTAGTTGACTGTTTTAAGGCGCTCCTTCGAGGCAGGCGATTTATGGGCTCAACACTCCCTCCAAAGCATTCGCTTATTGCATAGCAGTCAGTTAATATGCCCAGATACCTGACTGCCGTTAAATGGATTATTTCCTGATATAATAGGGCTGGAGTGTTGTGCAGCTAGTGACATAACAGACACTAGTGCTTCAACTGAGCTGTCAATCTCTTCTTTAAAGTACATGTTTGGAAAGCCGTCAATATATCTGACAGTACTATCGAATATATTCTATTAGAACTTCCCAATAAATCCCATGGAAGAACCCTTCTAGGTTGCATATATAGACCGAATCGGACAATTGACTACGGGTCATTACTTAATGTTGTTTCAGACATTTCGTTGGAGTACACTGACATCATATTGGCAGGTGATTTTAACAGCAACCTATTGTCAGAAAGCCATTTCGTAGATAACTTTAAATCCCTAGGTTTGCCAGCAGCCACTGTGATACATTACTTGACTTATTTCTTATCAATGACCCTAGCAAAATCATACATTATGACCATGGTTTCTGTACCATCCTTCTTCAGACATGACCTAATATTTTTAACATACGACTTGACCTTTGACAGCACAATCAATTCTTTTACGTATAGAGATTACAAAAATATAAACTATAATGAATTGAAAACGGAATTTTTGTGTTGTGACTGGTCATGTATTTACCATCTTCGTCATGTAGATTGTCAATTAGAGGTTTTAACCAACAATGTCCAGTATTTGTTCAACAAGTTTGTGCCCCTAAGGACCAAGGTGATTAAACCAATGCAAAATCCATGGTTTAGTTGTGAAATTAAAAACCTAACCCGCGAGATGTAGCTTACCTCCGGTGGAAGCGATACAAAACTGATGAATTTCGAAAACAATACAAAGAGGCTAGGGTAAAAGTAAACAAAAAGATAAAATCAGCAAAGAAAGAGCATTATAACATACAATTTAATAACTGTGTTAACTCAAAAAACAGATGGAACAAACTAAAACGGTTAGGTATTGGAAAGTGTAAGCAACAGACAGAGTCTGAGGTGGATGTCGAATTAATAAACAAAAAGTTTTTGGAAGCAGATGTACCTGAAGCAACATGCAATCCGTACCTGAATACTCAACCCCTCTGTGATAATAGTTTTAGCTTTATATGTATAAACCAAAGTGATGTTGTCTGATGCTGTTGGTCTCGATAATATGAGTCCAAAATTTGTTAAGCTTTTGCTCCCCTTAATGTTGCCCCATGTTACATATATTTTTAACACGGCTATTACAACGTCTTCATTTCCGTTAATATGGAAAAACGCCAAAATTTTCCCAATTCCTAAGCCAAACAATGACTATAGACCTATTTCAATATTACCTTTTCTATCAAAAGTCTTTGAAAACCTTATGTCCTCACAGATTCAACTATACTTAGCTAATAATTCTCTACTTGACGAAAAACAATCAGGATTCCGTAAGAAAAGGAGTTGTATTACTGCAATCACTTATATTGTAGAGGATATAAGACAAGAACTGGACAGTAACTGCGTACCAAGTTTAGGAATATGTTTAATTTCTCAACTAATGCGACGAAGCTTATTAGGTCGTACTTAACGAATAGGTTTCAAGCAGTCGTCTCTGGAACGCAAGTTTCTTCTCTCCGGAAGTGCCACAGGGATCTGTGCTAGGCCCTTTATTGTTTTCTATATATGTCAATGATCTCCCTAGTATCCTGTCTGAGTGTGAAGTTCATTTATATGCTGATGATGTCCAAATATATGTTAGTAGACCCGTAACTGAAATACATGACTGTGTCCGTATAAGTAATAAAATGTTGTGGCTAATTGAAAAATGCGCAAAGGAAAATGGCTTGGGTATAAATCCTAAAAAATCGAAGTGCTTGGTAATTGGTAAAAAGCAACTATCAACACTTTCACTCCAAAAATTATATATAAACCATACGCCAATAAGCTATGAAGTGAATGCAGTTAATCTAGGCATAACATTTAACAATACTTTATCATGGGGCAACCATATAGTCAAAGCGACAGGGCGTACATATGCTCTGCTGAGAAAATTTTCATTCTCCAAATCGTTCTTAACTGAGGAAGTTAGACTATTAATCGCCAAAGTTATCCTCCTGCCCACTCTCTTTTACGGTATAGAAATTTTTAGAAATTGTGATGCGCGGGATTTGCGTACATTAACTGTAGCTTTTAATTCAGTTGTCCGTTATGTGTTTAACTTAAGACGTTTTGACCATGTATCAGAGCTGACATATAAAATACTTGACCTTAACTTGACCTCCTGGATCGATCTCAGAATTTTAATCTTCTTTCACAAAATAGTGACGAGTGGAGAACCAAAATATCTTTTCAATAAACTTACCCCAGCCACATCTGTAAGAACCAAAAATTACATATGCCCATATCAAAAATAATAAAATAACAATTTCCGTCAACTTTTGTAAAGTGCCTCCAGCAAAAGCTTGTCTTTGTTGTTATTCTAGAATGAATACATTTGTAATTGCAAATAACTATATTTATATACATATATATTTCACATAATACTTACTTTGGCATTGCAAACACGGTAAACTAAAACAAAAACCGCGAATTTGTCTGTGCGGCACTGAAACCATATGTTCTGCAATGTTGTGCAACTCGACGCCCGATGTTTTGGTTAAACATCGATGCATCGATAAACATCAGCATAACATAAAACAAACACTGTGTTCGAGAAGGCAATTTTTCATAAATGGTATCCGGCTATGGAACAATCTACCGCACCAATACAAAAAAATTAGGAGCGCAACTCAATTTTACAATAAAGTTAAAGATCTTTTAAAATATGTTACGATGTAATGCTAATTTGGTAATTCAAACAACAGAGTTAAAATTCCTTAATTTTTCATAATTTCTCTGATGGAAAATCGCCCTTAAAACATAAATCTGAATCAGAAGTAATCTTTATATTTCTTGAAATCTTTGTACACTGTATGCTTAAATTTCGGTTTAAACCAATTTCATGAGGATATTTTATTGGATTTGTTATATCAATAAAACCGGTTTTTAAGTTTTATTATCTGCTCCTTATATGTTGTCAAATTTAAAATAAGTTATGGCAACCTTTGGAATGCTAATAAACATGTATATTTGTATACCCTTGCAGAGAGTATGATAATTTCAGTCAGAAGCTTGCAACGCAGTGAAGGAGACGTCTCTGACTCCATAAAGTATATATATTCTCTCTCAGCATCACTTGAGGAGTCGATCTAGCCATATCCGTCTGGCCGTTTCTACGCAAACTAGTCTCTTAGTTTTAAAGCTAACGCATGAATCCTTTCCAAAAGTCTTATTTCAATTGCAGGTAGTATAAAAGTCGAACCGAGCCGGATCGGATAAGTATGTCCTTTAGCTCCCATAGGAATGATAAAAAAACATATTTTAACTAAATGTAAAGAATGATAACTTCGGTGTTTTTGACATTAACTTCTACTCTTGCGAATTCATTTTTTTTAATATTTCAGAATTTCGAATACAATTTTTTAAAAACGACTATCATATAACTTCTATAGGAACGATCGAATTTTCGGTAAACATATACGGTAGTCAAAGTAAGCGGAAATGATCTGCAAGGTTTTAGAAACTTCGGCTTGCCGAAGTTAGCTTTCCTTCTTGTTTTTTCCTTAATGTGTTCCATTTATACTCACTGCTAGATTTCTTCCAAAATGTTTGCTCAAAAACAGTACATTCTCAAGTAGAGAATATAATTTCAGAACGTCAAAATGGTTTCTGAGTAGTAATTTTTCATTAATAAATTGAACATGGAATAGCAAAACTCCGTATGTATATCATAACATGAAGCGTTTTTATAACTTCTTTTAATTTCATCATTATAGGTTGCGCAATCGCCTAATAAATATTCTGGACTTGACGATGGAGGATCGGAATAAACAATTTATATGGTTCTTATTAACGAATAAAAATAAAGAAAGCGTATATAGTATAATATTAAAAATAAGTTGAAATTATTATTTAATCTTAAGAACAGGTAATTAATAGCTCAAAAGGGGTACCTCTTCGTGTCTCTGCAGAGTTTCGACGTCGATTTCTGGGCGTGAGAGTGGTTATGGCTTTAAACGTCAAAAATCAGGCCTACTTTCAAAATCACATCATACTCTAGTTCACAGATATAAAGTTTAAAGTTCGGAAGGAAATCCGAAATTAGGGCTAAACTGTTATGCATCCCATGTGTGAAGTGCAGTTCAAGTTATATTAGCTACAGCAATTGTAAAACTAGGATGGATTGTGCCGTGGAACAAAAACAGAGCTTATCAAAAATAAAAATGTTCAGAATGCGACTTTTAAATCCAAGACATTGTTCTTTTGGCTCTCTGGTAGGACATTGGGGCTTGAACAAATCCCAGGGAAACCGAAGGCCAAGAACAATAATCGGAAGTTCTTGTGTCGTGCGGTGGAACAGCGAATTTCAGTGCCACCATTCAACGACAAAAGCGCTTTCTCCACGGGATGTTCAATGAGTGAGTCACCCTACTTATATTATATAATTTTCTTATATGCTTAAAGAAAACCCCCGACCAGAATTTCAGACCAACTAACATAAACCGACTGGTCCAATTTAATTGAAATGCTAAAAATAAAAACAAAATTTAAAATTAAATCTATTTGAACGAAAATTGTAAAAGAGAAAAAAAATGAAGTAAACGAATTACAGTTAACAAATGAAAATTAATTGAAAGCAAACCAAATAAAGGAACCAGTAGAAAAATAAAATATAATACTTGGAGCCGTGGTTCGAATTAGCCGCAGGTAGAAAATGCACTCTACTTTGGTATTGCCGAAAGTAACGTCAATGGAATCCACTAGGTTCCACAGCGATGGCCGATGTATTTACGTTTCTCATACACACGGGTTACTCTCCTTTATATATATATATTAAATTTATGTAACAGAGAGTAGGCAAGCAGATCTAATAAAGGTACACTGGATAACAGCAGCAGAAGGCGAACAGCAGGATAACAGCAGCAGAAGTCGTACAGCAGAGTAACAGCAGAAGGAGCAGAAGAAGTACAAGTAGCAGCCGAACAGCAGAGTAAGCAAGAGAGAATTGAAGCAGCCGAACGTGTGTGAAAAGTCAGCAGAAAGCAGCAGCATTTATCCAGCAGTTTAACAAAAGCCAATTGTTCTACTCATTACCTGTGCACCGCGATATAATATTAATAAACAATATCCAATAATATCTTACATTTGGGGGCTCAACCAGTCGCGAACTGCCAGTGAAAAGTGAGAAAATGCGCAAGCCGTATGTCTCAAAAAAACAGTTTGGTGCCGCATAACTCAAAAGCCGCCAGAAAAGGAAACAAGACAACAACAGGGAGGAAAGAAGATCAGAAAGAGAAAACCGTATTTTTAAACAGGCTACCGGTAAAGGTATTGCGCAACAGAATTATGACAAATTAAAAGGAACCACCAGATGAGAAAATGGAAACATACGATGGCCCAAGTGGATCAGGGACAAGTGGAAACCAGGGAAACAAACCGAATCTTATTTCGGTTCCGTTCTGGTACCGGTCCCATACCGAAACGACTTATTCGGTAAACGATTCAATTTTGGTATTGATGTTTTGGTTCCGGTTGTGGTACCGGTACGTACCGGTACAGTTAAACAAATTTGAGTTAATTATGGCAATGAATACATTGAAATTATTTATGTTTTATTAAGAAAATAAAAACTTTATTTGAAGGCACATTAATAATAGTTCAATGGATCCAAAATCATAGAGATGATTATACTTATAATGATAATAAATTTACGAAAAAACGTTAATTATTTGGAAAACATGTGATTGGTTCTCAAAAGCATGATTGCGTTTAAAGTTTTCATGTCTAAACGGTTTCTGAGCGGATTCATGATAAACTTAACGCTGGAAAATAACCTCCCTACGCTCACTTGCGTAGCAGGAACACATAGGGCCACTTGAGAAATTGTAAACAACTCTGGGAACTTTTCGGAAGATTCAGACCACCATTTAATAATGTCTGTTGACTTGGAAAGGCGCCTTTGTTTTAGAAAAATTTGTATTGATTCTAAAAGGCTGCATGTAGACATACATGAAGGTGAGCCTACAGATCTTGCTTCTTCCAATTTTAGGTATTTATCAACTTCGTCGAAGCTTTCTGAAAGGCTTGCTTCTAAACTTTTCTCAATAATTGATATTGAATTATTGGATATCGATAGAATTTGGAAGTAAATATTGGATAATAGACTAATACAAGTCTGTTTTTGATTTTTGCTTAGGGTAATATTGAATCTGGGATCTAAGAATATTCCACACAGAAATGCATCGTTTTCAAATAATAAAATTTCACGATCTTCCAGTTCTTTTAACAAAAATTTGGCCAACTTTGAGTTATTTTTCTGCACGAGTAGCTTACAACTAATCCAAGTGTGGTAAAAGTCTCCGAAAACCAAATTTTGGCTTTGAAGTTTTGATGTGACAACCTCAGCTGGCTCTAATAGGCTTACAATTTCGCGAATTGAATCCCAAACTTTTTGATCCAAATATAAATGGTATACTGCATCTTCTACAAAATACGCTAACATTTTGTCGGACGAGCTCCAACGCGTAGGACAATCAATGGGCGGTTTTCTTAGATTTTTCTCCTTCATAATGTAAGACATGGTTGGTGTTCGCAATTTTTTGACCAAGTTCCTGGCAAAACCAATTGTTTTCGAACAATTTTTGTCTTTAAGTACTGCATTGACCGCCAACTGAAGAGTATGTGCTGCACAACGAACACCTAAAATTAAGTAAATAATAAAATGTTAAGTATATAAGCCGCTTATAAATATTTTGTAGTTTCAGACTTATGCACTTATTTTCCAAAACAACGTCATTCATAAAAGACAAGTCGTTGTCGACGTCGGTTTCATTCTCGTATGAAGAGTCGTCGTACAACTCCTCCGGAATGTTTTCGTTACTTAGAAGTTCCACAAACTTGACCATATTCCGTCCATTATCAGTGGTGCAAGAATAAATTTGCTGGGAGCTGATCTCGAATCGATTTAAAACAAAAAGGATGGTGTCTTTTAAATTTGCAGCCATAATGGCAGGCAAACATTTCTTCAGTTGCCAATGTGCGCAGGACAAGATGTCCATCAGAAATAAATTGTATGTTTACCCCTAAATTGCACAATAACTTGTGAAAGCATTATATTTTTATAAGATTTTTTCTTAGGCATACACACCAATAAACGATCGATTCAGATGAGTCAAGCCGTCGATTTTAAGTGCGATCATTTTTCCTTTAGTTTCTTCTTTTATTTTTTCGACGACCTTCTCTGATTTGGCTACAACATCATCACGGACGTTTTGAGGATTAATAAAGTTTTCACATCCTAATCCTTCAATTAACGGATTCAGAATCCGCCTAAATCCGATGTCGTTCATTAAAGAAAATGGTCTTCCATCAACTGTGCACAGCAAAGCACATGCATTTTGTATATCCTCCCTTGTAATGGACACACGGACAATTGGTTTTATGAAATCCTTAATCGTTTTAGCAGGCACACTATTTTTCTTAGTAATTGTTTGGTTGCTACTCGTTTGCTCCTCAGTTTCAATTATCAATGTGTTATGAGATCGCTTTATGTGCTTCGACAAATTAGTTCTGTTGATGCATTATATTAATTTGAATTTGATATGTTGATGTTATGTCATTGTGTTATGTAAGAAAAATACTAAACTGTTATCGAAATCTCGTATGTATCACCGAATGAAAGACGGTCACTCTAGTCGGCAAAAAGAGACGCCACTTGCATATAAAATTCTTGAAGTACACGAGTTGACGAGCGCAAAAGCTCAAATATATTGCAAAAGATCCAAAAATAAGTGATCAGCATATAACAGGTGTTTTCTTCAAACGAATCTTTCGACGACTACAACGACAGTGGCTTGTGTGGGCTAGAAGTCGGTCTTTCGAGCCCCATAATCCTTAATCGGTATAACCCTTACCAGGTAATTACCCCAACAAATGGTCTTTCGAGCCCCATAATCCTTAATCGGTATAACCCTTACCAGGTAATTACCCCAACAAATGGTCCTTCTTAGCCTCCTGAACGGCACATGGATTACGCGAAACTAGAGCGCAATTTCATCAGCCAAAATTTGCAAGTGTATGTATTACCGAGCGTGATCTCGGACATGCACAGAACAGTCTTCACACATACATTGACGACGACTAGTGTGTGTGTACCTGTAAAATTTGGAACTGGACAAACACAACCTCAAAAAGATGCCTAAGACACGTCTCAAGAAGCAGAAGAATGACGACAACACGCCCAGGGAAATAGAGGACACGCCGCGACCAGGCACCTCTGCGGCGAATCTACTGGAGATTTCAATGGCAACGGTTATGCGAGGGGCAGCATCAACGCAGAAAGTTCCAGAAAGGTGGGACGAAGAAGCACAGTCTAACCGGAGCCACCAATCTCAACGATCCGTTAAAGCCCAAAAACTTCAACTTCAAATGGAGCATCTACAGAAGCAACAAGAGCTGAAAGCTAAACGGATGCAGCTAGAGTTCGAGGAGAAACAGTTGGAACTGGAGATGCAGATGCAAATGACAGAAATTGAAGAAGACAACAGAAGCCAAGACGACCAAGATGACAACATCGGCGATGAGTACAACAACGGCACCAGGACACGTGAGTGGGTTAAGTCTTCTCAACGAAAGCAAACAGATCAGCCTGATGACATCAATGCAAATGCCATTGTTAGTTTTATGGCTAGGCAAACAATTAAACAGGAACTTCCCTTATTCAGTGGTGACCCTTTAGAATGGCCAATTTTTATTGCCGAGTATGAGAACAGTTCTCAAGTGTGTAAATTCACCGACTACGAAAACATCAATCGCTTGCGAAAAGCACTGACAGGTCGAGCCAAAGAATGTGTACAGTCACTTCTATTAGTGCCACAAAATGTAAATGAGATAATTGACATATTAAGAAATCGATTCGGAGACTGTAGTCATGTCGTGAAAATGATGATAGATAAATTCGAGCTTTTCCTGTAATCAAAGAGGATAAATATGACAGACTCATCACTTTTTATGATATGATTACAAATCTCATTCAAACTTTACTGTCCTTCAATGATATTGATCAGATTCGTAACAATTTGCTGTTTGAGGAAATTCTAGAAAAAATTCAGGTTTCTCAAAGAATCTCATTCATAAAACATTTTCAAAAAATAAAGTCTGACGATCCGAAGATTATACTATTTCACGAATGGTTAGGTCAAACCATAAAAGCAGCGACATTGCTCGGATTCGGTCAGAATAAATCAAAAGACACAATACTAACAGTCTCAAGTCCAGTCAAGACATTTGAAAAATTCAAATACTATTGTAACTATTGTAAGTCTACTGATCATCACATAACAGATTGTCCAAAATTTAAATCCTTGAGTGTCGACAAGCGTTGGGAATTCACATCTCACAATAAGTTATGTATATCTTGTCTGGGTAGAAATCACATTATGAAAGACTGCAAACGCAAAAAGACTTGTAGGGCAGAAAATTGTAAGTTTAACCACAATTTTTTGTTGCATAAAGACAAAGACAACACAGCAAGCGCTTCCCTTGATATGCCTAGTAATAATGACCAAAACAAGACAATTCCCGACATGAACTGCAACATTAATTTCGGTTGTAACAAAGTATTACTAAAGGTCATTCCAGTCACACTAATAGGTCCACAAAAAGCAATCGAGACATACGCTTTACTTGACGAAGCCTCGACAATTTCATTGATCGATGAACAACTAGCGACTGACCTACAACTAGAAGGACCGACTAGTCCTTTAAAGATGCAGTGGACAAATAACGAGGTATATGAACAAGCGAACTCAAAGGTAGTTAGTGTGGGTATCCGAGGTAAGGAACAGACTTCCAAAGTATTTACTCTTCGAAAAGTTAAGACCGTATCATGCTTAAATCTACCCCTTCAAACCCTGTCAATAAGCGACATGTCTGAGACCTACGAGTTTTTGAAAGACTTTTCCTTTTGTTCCTACCAAAACGCGCATCCAAAGATTTTGATTGGTCAAGACAATTGGTCAATCATAGTATCTAGGAAATTGAAATATCAATCATTTCAAGGACCTGTCGCTAGCAAAACGGCGCTGGGTTGGGTTGTACATGGAACAGTGGGAATGATTAGAGAAATTCCAGATAGAAATTATTCATGCCATGTATTTAATTGCGTAGGTTACGACAACCCTAACGATGACCTGGACATTCTACACAATCTGGTTAAATCCTATTGGTCCATTGAGAATGAGTTATTAACACCTCATGACTTTCCGACATCACTTGACGACAGAAGATGTTTGGAAATTGTTGACAAAACCCTCAAACGAATCGATGACAGATTTCAATGTGGTCTATTTTGGAAAAGTGACGACATTAAACTACCTGAAAGTTACAAAAATGCATACTCTAGATTGTTGTTATGCGAAAGAAAAATGGACAAAAACCCGGAGTACGGGAAAAAATATAAGCAAACCTTTGACTCCTACATACAAAATGGGTATATGAGGAAATTGACTTCTGCTGAGAAAACTAATATCACTCCCTTGACCTACTATTTGCCACACTTTGGAGTTCTAAATAGCAACAAGCCAGACAAACTTAGAATAGTTTTCGACGCAGCCTCCAAAAGCCATGGTTATTGTCTTAATGATTTCCTTTTGCCAGGTCCAGATCTATATAGCCAATTGTCAACAGTTCTAATGAATTTTCGAGAACACAAAATTGCATTTGTCGGAGATATCAAAGAGATGTTTCTCCAAATAAAAGTACAGGAGTCAGACCGTTGCGCACAAAGAATCCTATGGCGAGGCGACAACCGACAATCCGAACCGGACGTGTACGAAATACAAGTTCTATTTTTTGGCGCTAAATGTAGCCCAAGTATCGCCCAACAGGTCAGAAACAGAAACGCCTTAGATTTTCAAAATGACTATGACCAAGCCTGTAAGGACATAATAACAAAACATTACATGGATGACTATTTGGGTGGAGCTCCAGACATTAGTACAGCCGTAAAATTAATTAAGGACGTAACATATGTACACAAGGCAGGTGGATTCGACATGCGAAATTGGATATCTAATTCTCCAGAAGTTTTAAATCAGATAACAGACAACACTCCATCGAAACAAGTCACAGAAAAGAATTTAACCGAAGAGAGAGTTCTTGGTTTAATTTGGGATCACAAAAAAGACATATTCACATACAATTTAAAGTTTTCTAAGTCCCATTTTGAACTTCTTAACAATCTCAGACGACCAACTAAGCGAGAAATATTAAAAATAACTATGTCCATTTTTGATCCCTTAGGGTTTCTTTCAAACCTTTTGATATCAAATAAAATCCTTCTACAAGCCATTTGGGATAGCGGAATCCATTGGGACGACTACATTACAGACGATCAATTTCAAATATGGAAGGCATTGTGTAACAGCTTAAATAAAATAAACGATTTTTACATTCCAAGGCAGTTGACTACACTTAGCATAAGTCATTGTAATGTTCAGTTACATATATTTTGCGACGCATCAAAATACGCATACGCATCTTGCGCGTACCTACGCTTCCAGTGTAACAGCCAAATAGAAACCACCCTGATTTCAGCTAAGTCGCGAGTAGCGCCACTTAAACCAATGTCAATTCCTAGACTAGAGCTTCAAGGAACCTTACTAGGAGCTAGGCTAAGCAAAGCTATTAAAGAAACGCTCAATCTCAGAATAGACTCAACTTTCATGTGGACAGATTCCGAGATAGTCTTATACTGGCTGAAAACGAGCAGCAAAAGGTTCAAGACTTTTGTGGCTCAGCGCTTGGGAGAGATACAAGAATTGACAAATTCAAGTGAATGGCGACATGTACCCTCAAAACTGAACCCCGCTGATAAAGCAACAAAGATCTCATCCTTTGACTTCTCATCAAATGAGTTATGGCTGACAGGACCGCAATTCCTTAGAAAAAATCAAGATCAGTGGCCATTAGGTAAAATCCCTCTAAGACCAGACAGTTCTGATGCTAGCGATAAAGAGTTCGTAAATCTCACTACCATTCAAAAGCAGTCATTTATATTACCGGACGTCTCAAGG